CCTTCTCTCTTTCAAATGATATAAATTCTGGTTTTCTCATCAGGCTCCCACCATATACCCAGCAATGAAATCAATACTTTGGCAAATAAAGAAGAATAAAACAAAATTGGCCTTATCTTTAAACTTCCTATACTTTCTGAGGAGATAAGTGAGACTAATAACCAAATATGTAAATGATAGGATATGACTTATGGTAATTTTGAGTTATAAACACTAATGTTTGCAATGTATACAGAGGAGAAGAAACAATGAGTAATCTTTATAACAGTAGAAGGTAAAATAAAGCATTATAAAGGTGACAACAGATAGCACACTTTATGTAAATGAGCATGTGCTCTATGACAACCTGATGCATCTACCATGACTTTAAGAATGTGTTCGTGGTAATGAGATTGAATATCTAGATCTAAGCAGTTTGCGCAAATCCAGACTGCACAATGTAGTTTTCATGCATTCATCAATAAAAAGCATTAGGGATTGTTAAAGTCATTGACTCTCAGGTTAAATTGATTACAGAAAATTATTCTTGCAATGTTGCAAAGGATTTTTCACATTGAGGAGCGTGACTGTGGAATACAGTCATAATCTAGTTTTATAGTGTTAAGATTTTTATAAATAAGTGTTTCAGGGAAATTGCTGAGTAATTGTTCCTTTTGGAAGATATCGTTCCTACAGGTACAAGCTTGTGGGAACTAGAGAAAGCTATTTTGTAATGGAAAAACATAAAGGAGAATTGGGAATATATAGTTATGACTTAGAGTAAAGCCACAAATGAAATTCTACAGTACTTCCATTGTGTGGGTTCAGGAAAATGATTCTCTGCATTGTATTCACAAATGTGTCCACATGTTGATAGCTGTGCTATATAAGCCTCATTTCAATAACTATTCAAGGTTTTTGAAACAACACTAATTAGCTATAATTCTAAGAAATATAAAACTGAATATCTAATACGCTTCATAGCATGTCTTGTAACCATTACAATCATTAGCAATCTTTCTGCTTCCATTCTACTGATTTAAATTTCATATCATGAATATATTATCACATTTTATCATTGAGGAAATGCCTAGTGGCACCAAGGCATGTTCATTGAATATTAAGATGTCCTATTTGAGATGGGTCCCCCTGACACTTATCCTTGGCAAAGCTTTAAATTTAAATCAAAGGGACAGAATGTATTTTTCCTAAAAACTAATATTTATTTGCACTATTCAGTACTTTTATGTTTATTATTGTCTGTCACCTACCTATCTTCTGAGATTTGCCACCTCAGAAAATAACTTTTCGTTTACTATTCAACTATTTTGTTGCAATAACCTTCTCATAAGTGATATGATACATCATTAAAAATAACATTAAAAATTTTTCAAGTTTAGTTCAACATGCATGAGAAAGATTAGCATATTAGTGCAACACAGCTCCAGAATATGTTGAAAGTATTGGATTACAAGGAATGAGAAGGGTGTTAAAAATAAAGCCACCAATAAAATGTTAAATTTACCGTTTTACAGGAATGTTAACATTTTACAATTTGTTAAGAGTTGTAAGTTAACTGTCTCATAGCTTTAGAGACAGGAATGAAACTGTAGAAAATTATATATTTCCTCCAACAGAAATATTTTCACTTATCTCAGATTCATGCAAACTTAGAGTGGCCCTTCTCATGAAGCCTGATGTCTATGATGATAGTGAGTCTTATCTGAAATATGGGAAGGTACACCCTATTTTGTTGTTATTCCTGTCTTAATTTTGTTTTTTATTATTCCAGTCACAAAATAGTCCTATTCACCTTGTAATCTTTATATAAGATATAAGTACTCTACCTTTTGAAATAATGTAACAGTGGAAACCTAGTATTTTCAGCAACTCTTAATAAAGACCCACTAAGTGTCTCAATATTTCTTCCTTTCTGTTTCTTATTGCACATATTGGTGCCTACTTCTCTGGATCAACTTTCTTATTTTTTTTCATAGGATTCAAAAAAATCAGACTGCTGCAGTCACCTTCATCCTCTTGGGCTTCTCAGAATATCCAGACCTTCAGATGCCCCTGTTCCTGGTGTTCCTGACCATCTACACAGTCACTGTGCTGGGGAACCTGGGCATGATCATGGTCATCAGGATCAACCCCAAACTCCACACCCCCATGTACTTTTTCCTCAGTCACTTGTCCTTTGTCGATTTCTGTTATTCCACCACAGTTACACCCAAACTGCTGGAAAACTTGGTTGTGGAAGACAGAACCATCTGCTTCACAGGATGCATCATGCAATTCTTCTTTGCCTGCATATTTGTGGTGACAGAAACATTCATGCTGGCAGTGATGGCCTATGACAGATTTGTGGCCGTGTGTAACCCTCTGCTGTACACGGTTGCAATGTCCCAGAGACTTTGCTCCTTGTTAGTGACTGCATCATACTCTTGGAGTTTAGTTTGTTCCCTGACATACACATACTTTCTGTTGACTTTATCTTTTTGTAGGACTAATTTCATTAATAACTTTGTCTGTGAGCACGCTGCCATTGTTGCTGTGTCCTGCTCTGACCCCTATGTGAGCCAGAAGGTTATTTTAGTTTCTGCCACGTTCAATGAAGTAAGCAGCCTGGTGATCATTCTCACTTCCTATGCTTTCATTTTAATCACTGTCATGAAGATGCCTTCCACTGGGGGGCGCCAGAAAGCGTTCTCCACGTGTGTCTCCCACCTGACCGCCATTACCATTTTCCATGGGACCATCCTTTTTCTCTACTGTGTTCCTAACTCCAAAAGTTCATGGCTCATGGTCAAGGTGGCCTCTGTCTTTTACACAGTGGTCATTCCCATGCTGAACCCCTTGATCTATAGCCTCAGGAACAAGGATGTAAAAGAGACAGTCAGGAAGTTAGTCATTACCAAATTATTATGTCATAAAATATAATGCTAGAAATATTAATAATTTATCCTGGAGAGTAACAGTGCAGTTGTTTAATAACCAGTCATTGCATGAAATTGTGATAACCCTCCGACAGTCCAATATCTATTCACACTGATGTTTAGTAAAATAACTTTGAAGTTAAAAATACTGTAAGTATGAAATCTCAGATCATTTAAACTAAATTGTTTATGCAGAATATTGTAATACAAAAGTTTTTGTGTTAGTATACGTTTATGTGTGATTGCCTAGGTCAAATTTCAGTTCAATTCAAATATGGCAAAATGTAAAAATTTTGAGATGATCTGAAGAATAGTAGTTTACAATGAGGAAGTTTACCTGATAACAAAATTACTATAAGAGCTCTTCAGTATAAAACACTATCTAAAAATAATTGCAATTGATTCTACATGTGCAATTTTGGCATTAGAAGATTTGCAGACAAACAAAAATAAATAAGAAAATTATCTTCCTTACAAAGTCCAGAATCTGGTATAGTTAAATTATACTTGGTATTATAAATTATATTTTTCTTTATGCAATATAATAAGAAAATGATAAACATTTTTGCAAATAAATGCCCATCACCCTAGTGTTGCCATTTATGCCAATATGATTGTGCATGTTATTTATTAAAAATTTAATTGAACTAATTTTCTATTCATTTTCCTTTGTAAGAAATAATATAGAGGAATTCCAATTATCTTTTAACCAGTTTCCCCCGTGATAGTACAATATAACAACCAGGATAATGATATTGAGATAATACATATATATTATTCAAGCATTAGTTATTTATTGATGAAAATAAATATTCATAAAGTCAGTGATATCCAACAGTAAGTAATCCTTTTGAATAAGTGACTTGACTGGGGTAGCTCCGTTGATATCAGTTGGGCCACTTGGGTGTCAAGAATAGGGTAACTTGATCAGCTATCTTTGCATCTACAGACCTGTATGTATGTCATCTTCTTTGGACCATTTGGCTAATAGTCTTTGTTGAAAGCAGAGCCACGATAGAGTATTCCAATAATAAAAGCATACTTCAAGTTCCTGCTTGGGTCTCACCTGTTAACATTTTATGAGTCAGAGAAAATCACATGTCCAAGCCCCAAAGCAAGAGTTGAGAAAGTTATCTACTTCTTGTACAGCTGCAAAGTTACAAGTCAACAGTGATGGGTACAGGGAGAAATGAAAAACTGGGTTAAAAATCGATTGAAACATTTATATCTTTAAACACATTCTTCCTTGATAATGCCAGATAACTTTATTGCAGAAAACAGATAACCCATGGCTGTAACTGGTTTTAGAGAAGTTTTCAAATAATTGAAATAATTTGACTGCCTCAACCAAATGGCTGGTTGAGATTAGGTATAAGAACTTACTTTTTCTCCTTGTGTCTTGGCAATCATGATTAAGACTTGCAAGCACAGAATATGAAGACAACCATATGTTGTAGGTCCAATCCAACCCATTAAAAGTTGCTTGTTTCCCCTCAAGGTTTATTTTTATTTTCAATAAAAAGTTGAATAATTTTTTACTGTAATGCTTTACACCAAATTACATGTCTATGTAACTTACTGTACAGGGATACACAACAAAATTCTCAACACTTACAGAACATAGCAAAAGTAACAGAGGATTTACTTTAATTTTTAACTGTCAATAATGAGTCATAATTAAACACTCTAGTAGAGTATTTTAAAAGCTCTGTGTGTGTGTGTGTGTGCGCATGTGTGTATAGTTTAATAAAGATATTAAGGAACACAAAAAAGGATTTAGAAAGTTTGAGTATGCACCGCAGAATATTTAGTATATTCAATAAGGTTTTGAGGATAAACTTAGAATATATTATTTTAAAATATTGATTTTGAAGTTATGTAAGCAGTAATTTGGTAGGTTTCTTTTAGTAGAAAATAAAAATAAAAGAAAAAAGAATAGTTACAAATCCCTTTAAGACGTGATTTTTTTTATTTTGATAAATGTTCATTAAATGGGCAGTTTACACAAATATAATGCAATTTTCCCCCAACATTATCAAACTGTACTTTGAATCTGAAAGTAAACATGTTAACTGTGAAGATAAATGTATTTTAGATAATGTAAGTTAGCTCGCTAATGGTCATATTAAGTGATAGCTATGGGCTATTTTTTTCTACAAATACATTTGTATGCTGCTCTTCTTTTAAACCTTTGAATCCAGTAGGTATAAATGTGACTTTTTTCCCGTGGAGGGCTGCGGCAGGACATTTGCTGAGCATATGCACAATACTAAAGGAAATCTATAGTTTCATGCTCACTTCTTAGTGAATTAACAACTATAAAAATTATATCTGGACCATTTTATGTAAATGTCAACTTTCATATTATGTTGACTAAACGAAGACGGCATCAAAGATTGTATTAGAAATTTAATTTCTAATAAATAAGAAATTAAATTAAGAAAAGGATAATAAGAAAATAAGAAAAGGATAAATTAAGAAATTAAATTAAGAAAAGGATAAATATTTGATTCAATAGTATTTCCTGCTTATAGCATTCTAGATACATAGAATATGTAAGCTCAAGAACACCGTGTTGGTAAAAGTTTCCCCCTGAAACTTGTCATGCAGTTTAAACACCAGGAAAAAATCCTAGGGAGAACAAATAAAAACAAGCCTGAACCTGTGGATGTGAGAGAACCAAAGTTCAGGAAAATTTTTGGAGGTAATTCTTGGCGATTTTAGATAATAACTTATGAATAAAATATAGAATACAGCAATACTAATAACAAAGTTTTCGCATAAATTTCAACAATATATAAAGCAAGTTGTATATTATTCTAGGAATTTAAAGTGGATACGTCATTTAAAATTCATCAATGAATCTACCATATTAGCAAAATAAGGGAGAAAAGCATATGTTTATTTCAATTTATATACTAAAGATATTTATTACAATTTATATCTTGTATTAGTCAAAATTTTCCAGAGAAATGGAACCAAGGGAATGAATATCTGCTTATCTATATCTGTATCTCTCCATTTGGAGGTATTTATTTATTTTAAAGAATTAGCTCATGCGATTATAAAGGCGGACAGATACTGAGAACTTCAGGGTAAATCAGCACGCTGGATCCCAGGGGAGCCAATGATGAAATTCTAGTCTAATTTGGAAGGTCCAAGAACCAGAGAGCCAGGGGTGTATTTCCAGTCAGAAGGTCAGCAGTTTTGAGACCCAGGAAGAGCAATGTTCCAGTTCCAGTCTATAGGCAAACACCTAATGTCCCAGTTCAAAGGCAGAAAGAGGAAGGAATCTGCCTTTGCTTGGGAGAGAATTAGCCTTTTGTTAGACTCAGGCATATACTGATGGACGCTTCCCATTCGCATTACCAAGGGCAATCTGCTTTACTTAGGCTTCTGGTTTAATTGTTAATCTCATCCAAAAACATCCTTATAAAAACATCCATAATAATGTTTGACTGAATATCTGGGCACCTGGTGGCCCAGTTAATTGATGCATGAAAATAACCTTCACGCACCTGTTCATAATAAAACAAAACAGAAGAAAACAGAAGCTCCCAGACAAAATAGAAATAGAAATGTCTTAATTTTTACCCACCAAATCTATAGGTAAATATCACAATTAAGTTAAAATAATCGGCCGGGTGTGGTGGTTCCTGCCTGTAATCCCAGCAATTCAGGAGGCTGAGGTGGGCAGATCACGAGGTCAGGAGATCGAGACCATCTTGGCCAACATGGCAAAACCCCGATTCTACTAAAAATACAAAAATTAGCCTGGCGTGGTGGCATGTGCTTGTAATACCAGCCACTCAGGAGGCTGAGGCAGGAGAATCGCTTGAACCAGGGAGTTGGAGGTTGCAGTGAGCTGAGATCGCACCACTGCACTCTAGCTTGGAGACAGAATAAGACTGTCTCAAAAAAACAAAACAAAACAAAACAAAAAGAAATAATAGACACTTTGTTTTAAATTTCAACTCAAGGGAAGCGTGTTCATTATTTCCACTTCTGTGGAAACATTGTCCTAGACAATTGAGTAAGACAAGAAAAAAACAAAAGAATATTAGTGAAGATAGAATAACACTTTCATATTTTAAGATAATACAATTGTATGAACATCCAAATCCAAAAAGATCTATCAAAACCAATTAGAATTAGTAAGGGAATGTAAAAGATCTCTCAATGTAAGATAATTAACATTTCTTTTTCCTGGATCTGTGTTATCTGTCTACACCCTTCCACACTGTATTAATCCCAGCATGCCTCAGCTTTAGGGATGATAGTTCTTTTCTGCAGTAACCAGTACTGTGGTATATTAAGGTTTTGTGGGATTTTTGCCTTTTCATCAATTATTTAACAATTGCAAAAATAATTTTCTGTAATAAATGTTATGTTTTGAAATCTCTAGAAAAGATTGTGTTTTTCTTGAATGTACTCAGACTCTTGTTAATAATGCTCTGTGAGCTAGACCTTCAAATATGGGTATCTAATCATATCCTTGACTGTGAAGATAGGGCCAAGCATCTTTAAAACAGAAATTGTATTCAGTAATCCATGGTGTATAGTAACATGGCTGACTAAATAATCCTTTGTGCATGATTACAGTGAAGTGCTCACTGAATCAAATGCCTGGAGGACTGAGGTGGCAGTTTCACAAAGCTGTCATGGAAGTGGTGGTGATTACAAGAACTGGGATCTTCTGAATGCCTGGGAGAGCTTGCAAAAAGATAATAAAAATTCAGGGCATCCAAATGTTGGCACAATTTACTGTCAGAGAACTACAGATATTTATGGTAGCCTTAAGACACTGGGCAAGTGTCCTAAATTTCTTAGTGAGAAACTGATGTGTCAGAGATTATGTCTTAAATAAATCCTGTAAAGATACAAGTATTCTTAACATCAGAAAATAATTCTCCTGATTTTGTGCTCTGCAGAATGTTGAGATATCCTCTCCAAAGCAATGACAACTTAGGGCAACTTGTACTGCAATTAAGCGATTTAAAATGT